CTACAAAAGAACATATAGGAGAAGAGTGATTATGCTTTATTGGTGTACTTTGTATAGGATTGTTGTTTAGGATGCACAAAATTAGTTTGTACAGTGGACTTTAAATATTTTCATGTTGAAAGGCCGGTGTAAATGTTTGATTTCAATCTCTTTGGTGTTTTGCCTCAATGAGTAATTTTAGCCCTTGAGATTATGAAAAATTAAGTTTTTTTACTTCAATAGCTAGAGACACATGACAGATTTATATTTATTGTTTACGCTTCTTTTTCTCTACCTTACTGTTGAAGAAGAGAGAATCATAGAACATTGTAATCAAACTGATCAAAGCTGTTCATTGTAGATTGTGGGCAAAGGATGGTGCTTCAAAATCTCTTTTTTTTTTTTTTTTACGAATACATGACTTTTGGAGCTTATTTGACGTCACGTAGTGTTGCCTTTCTTTTAAATGCTGTGTTAGAATTGTATGACTGTTATCAAGATTGATGGAAGGAATAGCCTGAATGTGTTATCTACAAAGAATTGATGCTATAATAAGAATGCAATGGAAGGATTTTGGATATATCTGCTTAGTTGTTTCATTTTGAGGTTTAGAAAAATTCTGATTCTAGTCATTTTTTTTTATGGTCTATACATTGAATTAAGGAATTATGAGTTTTTAGTGATACAGATTCATGAGGTCCATTGAAATTGTTAGTTAAATTTTTGGTGATAACATAGTTATTGTGGTTAACCTATATTGTTACTATTGTCATGATGTTCTAGGTTATTGACTTCTTTTATGTTCTTGTGGTTAGTGATACAAAGGCGAGGAGGCACAATATATTAATTTTTTTTTTGTTACTCTGTGCCTTTAGGCACAAGAAATGACTAGTATATATATAGATAGTGTAATTAAAAGAGATATGGGATAGAGAGAGAAAAAGAGTTATATGAGATATGAAAGACTTCAGTTATAAAAGAAATGAAAGTCTAATTAGGATCGTCAGATCAATAATCTTCAAACGATCTAAGCCACAAAAAATTAAAGACAAACAATCTAGCTATTTTATTACATAGATATCATATTCTATATATAGATATAGATAGATATAAAAGAGAGAATTTTAATGTTAGTTAAATTCTTAAAATTTATGAGTTGTTAGTTTTCAAATTTGTTTTAATTAAATATAACTATTAGGGGTATTTTGGATAATGAATATTAAAATGGACTTAATATTAAATAAATTTTCTTGATAAACTTACCAATAAATAAGTCAACAAAAGAAAACTGACCTCTAAATTTTCCTAAAGAGAAAAACAGTCGTGGGAGCCATAAAGCAGGCTTAGAAAAGCCCGTAAAGAGAGAAACCAACTCTGGGGCCACCATTTCCTTGCTTCAACCTTTATTACAGCCAAACTTAAAGTTGGGCCCCAGAATATGATCCAATCTTCTTTTTCTTTTTGAAAAATTTGAGAGTTATTCCACTTTTTAAAACTTTATTTAGGAATAAGTCTGTTCAAATATTTTTTTGGGAATAAATCTATTTTGTTCTTCTTAGTCCAAAATACTTTTTATTTTGTGCGGTGTTTGAGTAATAGAGTTTTAACCTCGACAATAATGCAATTTTAAAATTAAATTCAGCATATCTTGAATTTAAATTGTTTGATAATTATTAATAGAAAAAAAATGATAAAGTCATAAAAACTAACTTAAAAAAAAATTACACATAATACGTGCTATGTTTATACAAAAAATTTACTAAATCAATGTTATATGATAAAAAATTTAATTATAAAATAATTTATAAAAATTATGAAAACTCTTTAAAATATTAAATTTTAGTTGCATAATACAAAAATTTTTTGGCAGCAACATTGTCCAATCCAAGCTTTCGAAGTTACCTTCAAAATCGGTATCCAATAGCATTTAATGGGTCTGAGTCGTCTGACACTATGACTACACAACCACTACGAATCAAAGCATATTAGTGCACTCGAACAACCCTAAAAAAAAGGAATAACCATCCACCTATGTATGGAGAGAGCTCCATAAATAATATGGTTTTGATCAGATTTAAAATGGCATTTTCAATAGAAAAAATACACACGTTTTTATTCAAAAAAATAAAATAAAAAATATCCAGATTGCTTTATTATTTTTCAAACATGATAAAAAAAATGATAAAATATTCATTGTTTTGATCTGCTTAAAAATGGAGCTCACCAAGTCACCTGCACATTTTTCTTTATGTATTCAAGCTTTGGCTTTTATATCATGCAGAAAAATATATCTCTAATACGATATTTAAAGTTATCATCTAATTAAATCAAGTTTTAATTAAATAGGATCAAGTTAAAATTTATCCTGAAACCCTTGTACTCCATTTGGTAAGGAGGATGGAAAGTAGAAAGGAAAGAAAGTAGGAGAAATACACTTTTTATCTTTCAATGATAGAAAGTAGGAAGGATTCACTTTCCTTCCTTTATGTTTGGTTGGATGGATGAAAAATAAAAATAACTATTTTTTTTTTGTGCTGAGTAAGATTAGGGGTGACAATCGAGTCGTGTTGTGTCAGATTCGTGTTGAGTCATTACAGGTTTGTGTCGAATATTAGTTAAACCTAACTTAACTCATGAGTTCGAGTCGTATCATCGTGTTGAGTCGAAAATTTTCACCCTTAGGTAAGATGGAAAAAATATATTTTTTTAAAATTTAAAATTTAAAATTTTTATTTTTAAATTTATTTTTAAAATTTTTTAATATATATACATATTTTACCNACGTGCTATGTTTATACAAAAAATTTACTAAATCAATGTTATATGATAAAAAATTTAATTATAAAATAATTTATAAAAATTATGAAAACTCTTTAAAATATTAAATTTTAGTTGCATAATACAAAAATTTTTTGGCAGCAACATTGTCCAATCCAAGCTTTCGAAGTTACCTTCAAAATCGGTATCCAATAGCATTTAATGGGTCTGAGTCGTCTGACACTATGACTACACAACCACTACGAATCAAAGCATATTAGTGCACTCGAACAACCCTAAAAAAAAGGAATAACCATCCACCTATGTATGGAGAGAGCTCCATAAATAATATGGTTTTGATCAGATTTAAAATGGCATTTTCAATAGAAAAAATACACACGTTTTTATTCAAAAAAATAAAATAAAAAATATCCAGATTGCTTTATTATTTTTCAAACATGATAAAAAAAATGATAAAATATTCATTGTTTTGATCTGCTTAAAAATGGAGCTCACCAAGTCACCTGCACATTTTTCTTTATGTATTCAAGCTTTGGCTTTTATATCATGCAGAAAAATATATCTCTAATACGATATTTAAAGTTATCATCTAATTAAATCAAGTTTTAATTAAATAGGATCAAGTTAAAATTTATCCTGAAACCCTTGTACTCCATTTGGTAAGGAGGATGGAAAGTAGAAAGGAAAGAAAGTAGGAGAAATACACTTTTTATCTTTCAATGATAGAAAGTAGGAAGGATTCACTTTCCTTCCTTTATGTTTGGTTGGATGGATGAAAAATAAAAATAACTATTTTTTTTTTGTGCTGAGTAAGATTAGGGGTGACAATCGAGTCGTGTTGTGTCAGATTCGTGTTGAGTCATTACAGGTTTGTGTCGAATATTAGTTAAACCTAACTTAACTCATGAGTTCGAGTCGTATCATCGTGTTGAGTCGAAAATTTTCACCCTTAGGTAAGATGGAAAAAATATATTTTTTTAAAATTTAAAATTTAAAATTTTTATTTTTAAATTTATTTTTAAAATTTTTTAATATATATACATATTTTACCATTTTATTTTTATATGAAATTAATGTATACATAATATATGTATATATAAAAAGATATATAGACAAATAAGATACATCTCAATACAGATAATTAAACTTCTCATCTATTTTTCTTCAAATTTTGTAGGTTTTGGTGAGTTAGAAGGAAAATTAATTCATCCACTTTTTCATCTTTTCTATTTTCCTTCATTACTAAATATGATATTTTATTTATCCCTTTAATTTTTTATCTTTTTAATTTTTTATTCACCCGCTTTTTCATCTTACCAAACGAAGCATTACCCTTTGTGGAGCATTACCCTTTGTTTGGTATGAGGTAAAATTGAACCGATAGGAAAAGATGGATGAAATGTGGACGAGAAAGAGAGATAATGGTATGTTTGGTAAGAGAGATAAAAAACAAGAGAGAGGAAAATAAATAAGGAATGCATTTTCAATTCTTTGAGTTAGGAAATATGTTTTCCCTCTTTCTTGTTTGATAAGAAGGACAAACAAGTTAAAAAAATAATATTTTTATTGAATTATACGTATGAGAAAAAATTAAAATAAAAATATAATTCATTAAATTACATGACTACCATTGTAATTGTATAAAATTATGGAATTACTGTAAAAATATCCCAAGTCCCACCACTTTCCTGTTTATACTTAATAAGTAAGATGTCTGAACCCCACGTTCTTTTTTGTTATTTCAGAGAGAAGTAGCAACTGTCACTTCAAACCATCACATCAAAGGGTATTAAGGTAAATCTATGTACTACCTAACTTTTTTAGCCATTCTTCGCTCAAATTTAGGCCAATTAAACATGTTGGGCGGAAGAATCCTCTTTCCATCTCATTTTCTTTCTTCTCTTTCTTTTATTCTCAACCAAACAAAGGAATTAATATAGATAATGACTTTTTTAGAACCCTATTGGGTGTAACTTACCTCATTTTCTTGGCTACAGTATCAAATAAAAAAACAATATGCCATAGCATTATTAATTGACACAAATGTCTTATATACAAAGTGTCTATAATAAATATAACCGTTTGATCAGTGGACCACCATTTTAATCTGACGGTTCTAATCCCCGCGACCATCATACTAAAAATGGGTCAGAGCCACCTATACGATCATCGGCCAATAATGGGACCCACTAAAGCCTAATCAAACAGTATCAGAAGCGTGTGAAATCGAGTGAGATTAGTACTTAGCCATCCAGACCTAATCTTTGAGCAGCCAAGTCACACCGTATCTGAGCGAAGCCAATCCTTGATCTCTCAAGGTCAAATTCCATCCACACGTTCTGTTGATGATGATGCCCAATCACGTAGGCCTCGATGCCTAATAGATCCGAGTTTCCAAAAGTGAAGCAATACACCGAATCATTTCCCCTAACTTCACCTAAGACCCGATATAACAACCCATCACCCGAAACCATCAATTGAGCACCCCCAAACATAAAACTCACCGAGGGCAATGATGGCAAGCTTGTTTGATTCAAAGGAACCCGAAAACACAAATCCATTGCTCCTTGGAAAACAAAATTCGGGTCATCCAAGACCCGCAAAACCCCACTCGTTTGGTTCAAGAACTCTTTCCTCAAACCAGTATAAGCCGGGCCGAGAAGGAATGTGAATTGTGTACCTGAGTCAACCATTGTCTGACCCGCTCCGGTGTGATCCGGTTCAAATTTTGATTTCGGTAGTGGCAGCAATTTATCTGAAACTTTGATCCCTTCAAGTTGAACCGTATAAGCTTCTCGATCAAAGTAAGGCAATGGAGTAGAAATTTGAATCATTGGAGTATAATTCAATGTCATTAGCCATGTAAAATTGGTGTTTCCAAATAATAGAACACCCGAAATATCCGAACTTGAAATGCAGTAAGAGAATTTCGAATAATTCATTTGAGAAACAAAGGAAAGAGACCCACGATTCATGCCCATCAACCCGGTACTCTTGGAGTCTTCCTCCGAGTTACTGCTAAAACCCGAGTCCATGCACCCGAATATGATGCCCAACATTCCAGATCCTCCTATATTGAACGTATCCGATGCTAAGTTTCCTTCTGAAGATGATGCATCGGCATAGGAGAGAACAGCATGGCAGAGATGGTTGGAGTCACAAGAAGCGGGTATGGAGAAGTCCCGGGTTCGGGTCCTGCAGATGGGTGAAGAACAAGTGATGGGTGAGTATGATAATGATCGGGTTGGAACGAATGTGGGTTGCGTGAGTCGGGTCGTGTTGCAGTGAAGCCAAGAGAGCTCACTTCCTGTGTCAAGGACCATGGTAACGTTCTGTTGAGGCGTACCCAGAGAGAGAGAGATGGTGAGGGTGACATTGTGCTGGAAGGAAAGCTCGTTTGGACGGTGTTTCGGGGAGGACCCAGGTGGGATTTGTTGGGTTTTCAGAGGCAAAACAAGCATTGATGTTGTTTCTCTTTTGGTGGTGGACATTGGTGTTGTTGAGCAAAAGAAGAGTTGGGCTTGCATTAACAAGATCAGTGTTTTAAAATAAAGAAGAGAGAGAGGGCATCTGAGACAGTGGGGTTTCATGGCGTTAAGAATCAACAACTAGTAAATGGAACAGTTTGGTGCAGAGGAGAATGCAGATGAAATTGTGTAAAAAAAGGATCTGTGATCTGAGGAGAGAGAAAGTGGAACAAGTGAGTTTGTGTTTGAAAAAAAATTGAAGTGAGAACCGTTCAGAGTTCTGGGGGAAAGAGGTGTGGGGAATCTGAAATTCTGTGAACGAACGAATTAAGCTGATAGCAAAAGATCTAGTCCTTTTGTTAGTGAGCAGAGTCCTTCTGTTGACGATATTAGACAGTTCGTTGGATTACATAATTTTAGCCTTTTACACGGGCCTAGGGCCTAGAGCCTACAATAACGCTGCTCACTGGAGAGCATCCGCTAAGGACCCGAAATTAAGACTTTTCTTTTGACATATTATAATCTCAATTTATCTACTTAATAAAATGTGAATGATGTTTAGCTGATCAAAACACAAAAAAACCAAAAACAAGAGTCCGATGATACTTGAGAGAAGAGGGAAACGACGTCGACTGGGTTGGTTTGAAGTTTGGCAAGACTAACAATTAATAAAAGAGAAATATTTTCCGCACTTCAAAATTTGACATAATTTATTGGTATGATAATGTGATTATATTAAAATTATTAGATACAAAATAAATTTTAATGTTTAATGAAATCTACGATTAATCCAAAATTTATAATTGATTGGTTGTTTGGTTTTGTTGTTTTGGGAAAATAGATTGGTTGGTTTGTATTCTACTTTTTCCACCCACAAGTAATAATCTAAGTATATTAAAATATCTTGAAATAATATGAAATCTTTGAAAATAATTATGTAAATGCATCGAAATATTATAAAACATCTTGAAATATTATGAAATATCTCGAAATATTAGAATTTATTTCGCTCTCCTTGAAAACAGACACGTTTAGAATGTTTCAACTATTTTAAAACAAAATTTTGATCTTTATTGATAGGTCCAACTATGTCACGATTCTTATTGTTTTTTTTAATAATAAAAATACGACACAAAGTGATTTTTTTTTTGTTTCATTATTTTCGTGGTCTATAAAATTTTAACTACAAAAGATTGAACCGAATATTTATAGCCACAAATTACTTGTTTCGTAGGGTATTTAAAAATCTTTTTTTTTTGGGATAACATAACTTTATCCGATAAGCATAAAATTTGGCATGTGGCATTGCTGCGCTTAGTTTGTTTGATTATGCTAATATGAATTGAGTACCATGAATTCTAATCGTAGAAATAATTTACTTGAATTTGGAATTGATTATACCATACTCATTATTTGTAATTATTACATAACACCTTGATTATACCTTCCGAAAAAATAGTAAATCTCGTTCAATATTAAAATCTACTAAAATTTAAAGATAACAATGAAGTAGATCAATTAGATTTTATTACTTAATTGGGTCCAAGTTACCTAATTCATTGTTGTCAACTTGATAATTCTAGATATGACTTGAAAACTTATTTGAGTCAAGTCTTAGGAAGGCAGAATTAGAGTGAGAAACAAGCAACCCGTTAGATCCATTAAATAAATTAGAATAGATCGAATATGAGTTTTATAACTTTTGACATGAAACGACCTTTTATCAATCACTAACGGTAATTGTTCTTCATTGATATAGTAAAGTGTGAAGTGGAAAATATTTCCACTTTTTTTTTGTTGTTTCGGGTATTCGCTAATCAATTTCTTATTAAAATTTTCATCGCAAGTGATCTGACATGATCTATATTATTAAATATTAATAGTACCCGCTTATTTGATGATAAAAATTATACCACATCATTTGAGATGAAAAATTTAATAAAAAATCTTAGTTAGCATAACAACGTTCAATAAATATTCCCCATCCCAGATAACGGGTATTGATTGTTGTACCTAATAATGCTGTTCAACATTTAAAGTAGTCACAATCTCTACCTTATATCAAGAACAACAACCAAATGTCTTTAATCAGGGGGGAAGGAACACTATCAAACTGTCATGATACAATGTCTCACATACTTTGGCAATTGGCCAAATATCACATCTGATTCTTTGTTGACTTGGCCATCCATGGCCATGGGTTTGTGTAATAAGTGCAGAAGGTTTAAAAGTATCCTCAGGTGGCTGCACATGTCATGTTGAACAAAGGATGGGGGCACATGGTCATGGATAGAACCTCTTAAACTTTACACGGTTGTGATCATCATGTATAGCAGCATCAAAATCAATATTTGATGCATAAATCATTAATATGATCTTGACAACCCAATACGGATGCAGGGTTGATCATACTTAGGAAGTTATAAGTTGTTAAACTAAAAGTAGTATTATTTGAATTTAAAATTTTAATTTAATTTATTGATCTAATTCATTATAACTTTTGAATAGACTGTGAATTTCATTAAACATTAGAATTTGCTCTTCTTCTAATAGTTCTAATGAAACCATAACATCAGATCAATAAATGAAGTCAAATTTTTAGGTTTGAATAACAATACTGTTAAACTAATGGGGGAAAGAAAATATATATAAATAAATTACAAGAGTAGATGAAGTGGTAACATGGATGAACTGTAAGTCCATATGTCTTAAGTTTGAATCTTGACAACCCCTGGAGGCTATGAGAGATTTATTCCTCATGAATATTCTAGTTCCGACGTGAATGACCTGTTTTTGACCAAATCAGAGAAGGAATTAGTTAAGATACACGTAAATTGGTCTAAACATCCCTGACCGTTGAATTAAAAATTTTTTTTTTACAAATACGAAAGATCATTATGTCACAAAAGATACGAACGCTAAAGTCAATGTAAGAAGTATGAAATTCCAAATGAAACAAATATTTTACCCATGCGATTTTCACGTCAAAATACGAAGTTTAGTTTAGTAAAAGTTAGAAAGCTCTAATTGGACAAATAGTAGCCTAAACCTACAAAGTTATGACAAATACAAATAAATTCATCATGCCATAGATGTTCCTAATACATTAGAAGGTCATGAGAACCCCACAAAGCAAGTTTCAATAGTCAATATAGCTAACAATACTTGGGCACCTTTCCCAAAGATAGGCCTGTTCATGGGTCAGGCTGGCAATGGCCGCCCAAATTCAAGCCCAACAAATATAGCCTGCAACCCAACTTGGCCAACAAAGAGGCCCGCGCACAAATCCTTTCCACATGGCCACTGAGTTCTGCTACACTGATGACAAGTTGAAACCTATGAAGTATGGATACGTCGACTTATATTGAATATGATACTTATGAGATACTCAAATATTTATGTACATTGAAATAGATTAATGAATATGCAGATAAACAATATAGGAGACAACTAGAACACATAACAAATACATTAGCATGTAAATGATAGTTCCCATTTGTTGGGTATTGGAAGCAAAATAGATCACCAAAGAACACAAAAATAAAGGACAAAAATCTGCTCTACTACCACACTAATTTCACTCAGGAAACACCTCTATATTTTATAAAAAATAATCATAATATCAAGGAATACAAAAGGATAGACCAATCTGATTTTTCAGCAAGAAAAACCACACATTAAGCTATGAAAGAGCTTTCAAACGTAGCTTCTGTTAAAAGGACACACCTGCTGGTTTTTCTTCCCAGCAAATCACAGTTTTTCTCTCTGTTTTCCCTTAGATAACATCCTGTTTTGGCAGCAATAGTCCAGTCTTTTTATACTAATTTTTCTTAGCTAAAAGACCTTGAATCTGCCCATTCAATGGCCAGCAGCCTCCAAGCATTAAAACAGATTTTGTCTCTTCAGTTTTTCCACATAAAAGTACATGAACACTCCTCCCAAATACACGAACAAACCTCTCAAAACATTCTGGACACTTCTAGTGACTAGCTTTTTAAATACCATCTAACACCTTGATTTTTTCAATACTACATCATAAACCCAAAAATACAAAAATTACCCTTTAAAAATTGAGTTTATAAGAATTGAGAATAAGAAGTACTTGTGTCTATTACAGCTTCAGAAAAAGAGTTTAAGGGGTTACAAAACTTTGTTTATTTATCGACTTGATTCAGCTTGCCAAGACCATTGCAACGAGCACACACAATCTGAGCCTGGTCCTTCCGAGCCGCATTTGCCCTCAGAGCAGCCCCAGATTGCCGCACAAATCCCGCTCCATCGCATTCGGGGCACCTGCATCGACCACACAAAATGACATAATATAATTTATCCCTCCAGGACANAAATTTTTTTTTTACAAATACGAAAGATCATTATGTCACAAAAGATACGAACGCTAAAGTCAATGTAAGAAGTATGAAATTCCAAATGAAACAAATATTTTACCCATGCGATTTTCACGTCAAAATACGAAGTTTAGTTTAGTAAAAGTTAGAAAGCTCTAATTGGACAAATAGTAGCCTAAACCTACAAAGTTATGACAAATACAAATAAATTCATCATGCCATAGATGTTCCTAATACATTAGAAGGTCATGAGAACCCCACAAAGCAAGTTTCAATAGTCAATATAGCTAACAATACTTGGGCACCTTTCCCAAAGATAGGCCTGTTCATGGGTCAGGCTGGCAATGGCCGCCCAAATTCAAGCCCAACAAATATAGCCTGCAACCCAACTTGGCCAACAAAGAGGCCCGCGCACAAATCCTTTCCACATGGCCACTGAGTTCTGCTACACTGATGACAAGTTGAAACCTATGAAGTATGGATACGTCGACTTATATTGAATATGATACTTATGAGATACTCAAATATTTATGTACATTGAAATAGATTAATGAATATGCAGATAAACAATATAGGAGACAACTAGAACACATAACAAATACATTAGCATGTAAATGATAGTTCCCATTTGTTGGGTATTGGAAGCAAAATAGATCACCAAAGAACACAAAAATAAAGGACAAAAATCTGCTCTACTACCACACTAATTTCACTCAGGAAACACCTCTATATTTTATAAAAAATAATCATAATATCAAGGAATACAAAAGGATAGACCAATCTGATTTTTCAGCAAGAAAAACCACACATTAAGCTATGAAAGAGCTTTCAAACGTAGCTTCTGTTAAAAGGACACACCTGCTGGTTTTTCTTCCCAGCAAATCACAGTTTTTCTCTCTGTTTTCCCTTAGATAACATCCTGTTTTGGCAGCAATAGTCCAGTCTTTTTATACTAATTTTTCTTAGCTAAAAGACCTTGAATCTGCCCATTCAATGGCCAGCAGCCTCCAAGCATTAAAACAGATTTTGTCTCTTCAGTTTTTCCACATAAAAGTACATGAACACTCCTCCCAAATACACGAACAAACCTCTCAAAACATTCTGGACACTTCTAGTGACTAGCTTTTTAAATACCATCTAACACCTTGATTTTTTCAATACTACATCATAAACCCAAAAATACAAAAATTACCCTTTAAAAATTGAGTTTATAAGAATTGAGAATAAGAAGTACTTGTGTCTATTACAGCTTCAGAAAAAGAGTTTAAGGGGTTACAAAACTTTGTTTATTTATCGACTTGATTCAGCTTGCCAAGACCATTGCAACGAGCACACACAATCTGAGCCTGGTCCTTCCGAGCCGCATTTGCCCTCAGAGCAGCCCCAGATTGCCGCACAAATCCCGCTCCATCGCATTCGGGGCACCTGCATCGACCACACAAAATGACATAATATAATTTATCCCTCCAGGACACAAAAATTATTTCAAACAAGAGAGAGAGAGAGAGAGAGAGAGAGAGAGAGAGAGAGCAATTTACAGGTCCTTGCGAGAAAATAGGATAGGGAAGGCAGTTCCAAGCAAAGCCACCGTGGCAGCACCGGCAATCAGATAGACAGTGCCATCGGCCGATACTTCTCCAGCTGCCGCAACCACTGTCAAAGATCTTTTTTTCTTAATCCTCTGACTGCTGATTGAAGTAAATTTTGAACCCAAAGTTGATGATGAAACACAAAAGCTGGATGGAGATGAATTACCAGTTGATGCCAATTGAGTCAGTGAATTTGTAGGAAACATAGTCTGTAGAGGAGCAATTGATGCCATTTTTACAAGTTCTAACTAGTTTAATAGGTATGTTGGATGTTGAAATGACACAGCCACAGATTATATATCACCCTTCAACGTGTTTATTATCCATAGATATGCATGTTATTACAGGATAAGGCCAAATCAGAACCCCAGATTCTTGTGGTTCCCAAGATAAGGACGGACCCACATCTCACTGATTCAGCCAGAGCTAAGTGGAGTGTGGACAAGTCAGACCACAAGAAAGAAGAAAAAAAATGTCCATTTTGTTGTGCATCTTGTGACTCATTGACTGTCAAGGAAAGGAACCCTCTACCCCGGAAGCAAAATTCGATTTTATGGGCTTAATCTGCCTCCATTCCTCGAGAGTTCTGGACAGAGGTCATCCTTACCTTCTTTTATCTTTTATCGCCTTTTGTTCTTTCTGGCATTTCTTCTGACCTCTTATGAAAGTCTGTGAAGCCAAAACACCAATCATAAACATCACCAAAAGTGTAAGAAAGTACCTGCAGGGTCTACTCTATAACATCAAAGCTAGGAAGCTTCATTAAATCAAGAAGAGTTCCACATATGCAACCTCTGTCCCACTCAGCCGAGCACATATATTGAGTTCCTTCACTCATGTTCAGCCAACTATGAAAGGGATCGTAAGCAGCACAAAACTGGCACATAAAACAGTTATTATACAGCAAACCAAAGCCAAATAGGAAAATTATGGAGCACTATTGGTCCAAGTTAGAACATGCCGAAGGGGTACCAAGCTCCAGCATCATATTCGACCACGCTAACTGCTGACAAATTATTCTGTTTCCCACATGAAAGAAAACATATAAAGCAAGCAATCAACTAAATAGCAGAAGCAGCATGTAACCAAGCAAAAGTCAGCAGAAAGAAACAATAAAGATAAAATATGAGTGGCATGCAATCAGACAAATGAAAGAACACCTGATCAAAGAAACTAAAGCAAAAAAGAGCCTCGGCAGTACTTTTCTGACGCGAATTGCCATGAGGAATGGAAGAGTGGTCTACCACATGGTGCAACAGAGAGAGAGCAGTTATGCTGGGAATAACGAAACATAACATTGTTACAATGCACAAGTTGTCTAGTTTCTCAGTTAAATTCATTATGTTGGAATGAAAATGGAAAACTAAGTTCACCTTTGCCAACTCTTCTGCTAAAACCTCATTTTTATTATTAAAGTGGAGCTCATCACGTGCTCATTATTTCTCATGTTTATCATAAACTATAAAATTAGAGAAAACATACGAAAAGCTCTAAGGAACATCACCTCTTTTTGAGCAAAGAGTGCATATATTAAACAAATCAAATGATAATGGTTACTTTGCTCTAGCAGTCCTCATGCTTCATTTTCTAAATCTGATAATTTCCTAAAAGACGGGTAGGACCTAATATGTAAAATTATGAAAATGTTCGATGTACCAACACCTGGCGAATTGGGGGCCACGTGGCAAAATCTGAGAAAAGGCGGAAGACAATCATATACAATTTTATTTGAAAAAGGAATAATTGTTTGTTAGTTACTAATTAGATAACTGTCAAAGTGTCAATGAAGGTGAAACCATCGAAGATAATGCCGATAAAAAGCTGAAAGAGGAAGTTAAATGATACATTCATAGTCTCACAAGACCCACGATCTGGTTATTGTTAGGAGTAGCGTTAAGTTAGTCTTTTAGAAAGTAATTACTGCTATAAACAAGACTGTTAATTCAATCTTTTTGTAACTGAAAATCATTCAATTGGATCAATAAATGGATTCTATTATATTAATTCACGATTCTGTTCGGTTACTTTTTAAATTTCAACCAAAAAAATTCTGAAACAAGGCAATTGGCCCATAAATAGCAACAACAGATTTTGAGTTTCTCCTCTGTTGACGACAACAGATTTTGGAGCAACAAAGACACATCCGTTAGAGAAATGTCCTTTCACTCCTTTATAATCAGATAGTCAAAGCAAACCATAAAACCTTGTATGTTGCAAAGTTTCTAATTCATTCTACAGTATTTTGTCCAAAAACCACAAAGAACCCATTGAAGGCCTTCATGATTAGAAGATGTATAAGGGAAAAAAGAAGACAAAATTAAAACTCATAGATTCAAATGGCTAACATTGTCAGAGTGATGCAGTAAGCTGTAAATACAACACTTGATCACAACAAAATTTAAAATTTCAAAATACCCAAGACAACAATCACGTTCGATTATTGGACTCTACCCCCAACTTAATTTTTTGTTTCTTAATTGATGATTGGGTACATAATTTCATTTCAATGAACCAATGGCATGGCCAAGCTCAAGATGAGTTAAAACACACACTGCAAGCAATTAAGGTCCGACAATTACAAGAGTGTTGGCATAAGGAGATACTTTCGAAAGAAAAAAAGAGGACAATAAGGCAGGAAAACAGTGACCAAGTTATGTGAAAATATCCAGTGAAATTCTTCAAGACTTCAACCTATTATTCCAATGATTTTATTAATGGAAATACTTCAAAATCCAACACCAATACAGGCTCAGTGGTTCACAACAGCTGAGCGAGTTCGGAGTTTTTGAAGGGCACCTCTCCATGTGAACTTTCGTCTTCTTTTAGTAATCTTCTAGCAGTTAAATGCTTATCTCTTGGACATAATTCGAATTCCAAAAGTCCTTTATGCCTCTCTTGGACATAAGGGACCAATTTGATACAATTAGGAGAAAATATTCATTACAACGGTGACACCATGTCATCACTGTCACATGATGTCACCATCTAATTAGAAGACAATAAATAGAAAATGTGAATCCTACTAATCCTATGTGTTGTTGATTGGATGTGATGGTTACTGGTAATTATGAAAATAATGAAGTTCACTTTTTTTATTTCTAGTTTTCTAATTGGATGGTGACACCACGTGGCAGTAATGACGTGGTGTCACCGTTGTATTGAATATTTACTCTACAATTAGAATGTTAGGGACTAAAATGAGACAAAATTCAAACTTTAGGGACCACCGTCATAATTAACTCAAAGTTTTGTTAAAGATACTCAAACTGAATAAACGAAAATGTTATTTGAACTTAATTTATTTATCTAATTAATTACAATCATTAAATTAATAGCTGACCTTAGAAAATATTGGGGCTCAGTGTCAATCTAACAATTATAATACATTCTATCAATAAATTAAATTAATTAATCAGAACCAAATAACATAGCTCATTGAAAAATAATCACTTTGATACAATATTCTATACAAAAAAGTGACGTGTCGGCCAAGTGTTATGCCTTTCATTTCATTGGCTAGAGGTTGACTAAAATTAAGAAATGATCGGAGACAATAGACGGAGTTAGGCTAGAATAATATCTTAGTCTCCGCCTTCTGTCTCCCCTCTTTGGCTTAGAATCGGGACTTGCAGATGGATTACTCCTCCTACGGTATNTCTTTGCCTTAGAATCGGGACTTGCAGATGGATTACTCCTCCTAAGGTGTTGATGTATTTGAGGCTGAACGTATCATAGCCACCCCAACAGCAGAAAGTAAAGCTGGATTTTTTGTGCAATTTTGGGTTTTTTTCTCGATTCTATTTTTTTTTTTAAATTTTCAAATCTCTCAAAATTGTGCAGGTAACAAGATGTTTTAAAGTTTAGCCGTGCAAGGATGAATGATCCAACAAATTCAGAAAAAAAAAAATTGCATCGGTATGGTGGTGAACGTATGCTGTAACCTAGATATCCCACAATCAAGTATCATCTATTGAAACATTGGACGACGGAGTGATTTGTGAATGCTGGGCAACCTTTGTTTGGACAAATTTTCTGGTTGGAGAGGAGCCGTTAGCTATGGAAACTTGGGGATAGCAGTTTTTTCTTTACTCATTTTGTTCTAAAACTGCTATGCTATTAACTTTAATTATTATCATTAGTGTGCTAAGTGGAATTAGTATCTTTATTTCTTTTGGTTTGAAAATCCTCATGTGAAAAACTAACTGGTGGTTTATTTGGCTGCTTGACTCGAGTATGAAATTTGTGCAATCTAATTGGTGTCGTTTTGTTCTTGAAAGAATCGAATTCTTGAGTATTAGATAAAGATTTTACATATTTGTTAAGGTTTTAAGTTTGGCCCTTTTGTTGAACAAATCATAGGCATTGTGGAGCAAAATTTGCGACAAATTGTAATGGTTGTTGCTTATGGAGAGGGGATGCTCCTTCCTTCTTGTTTGCCCCTCTCTGATATATCATGTATTTGGCATTTGATTTGAACGAGAGTTTACTATCAAAGAAAATGATAAATTACACTTGCATCCCCTGAACTATCACCAATTTTTTACTTTGCCCCTTTAACTACTAGATATCTCATATTATACACTAAACTAATGCTTTTGTTTCAAATTGTCCTAATCACAAATGCATGTTACCTTTTTGGATGTAAATCAATGAAGTATCGGAGTAAAGTAAAAAAAAAATACATAATTCAAGGGCAAAATGAAATAAATTTTCCTTAGATATGTAATAGATATTAGTAATTGGTGTAATATAAAACTATTTACATAGTTGAAGGTACAATGTAAAAAATATTATAGTTGAGGAGCCAAAATAAAAAAAAGAATCATAATTGAGAGTTTCAAAGTAATTTTCCCTCAAGAAAAAGAAGGCTTGGATTAAGCCCAATTGCTATATTATTAAGAACTATTTTTTGTTTTTTATTTCCTCCAGCTTGATCGCAAAATAACCCATCTATCACATAAGTAATATTATTAGAACCTAACATAGTGATCCAATGAGTAAATAACACGTCAATTAATATGATTCAGTAACATTATTGTAATTGAAAGTTTACATAGTTTATGATCAACCGTTGAAGTTGTTTTATAAAAACTATATTCCCAGACATCTTAATTGCAGAGTATAAAGTCTAGTATTCCATTTGGTACGATAGAAAAATTGAACAATGAAAAATTGGAAGTATGAAAAGTTTGAGGGATAGATAAAATATCATGTTTGGTAAAGAAGGATGTAAAAGTAGATGAATGAACTTTTTTTCTAACTCATGAAAATCAATTCCTCCAAAATTGGAAGGAAAGTATATGAAAAACTAATTATTTGTGTTAAAATGTATCTTAATTGTCTACTAGTTATTATCCGTGTTTGAAGGCACTGAGTGATAAAATAGTTACAAATAAATATATTTTATTCACACCAAAAATTTATTGATCTAATTTACTATAATATTTGGATTAAATGTGTGCTTCATCAAACATTGAATTTTGGTATTGATTCAATGATTCTTATTAAATCACATCATTATGTAAGCAAAATTTTAGGTTTAAATACTATTACTCTAACTTTTAAATAGGATTACTCTTTATTTAAATATTTATAAATTGAGCAGTGCCTAGTCGCCTATCTCCGTCGTCACCACCGTCGAGAATCATAAGACCGACGGTTCTCGTACCTATATAAACAACTCAACCCTACCAACACCTCAACAATGGCGGCTTCTGTCTTCTCTTTGTCGGAGAAATGTAAAGTCTGCAACAACAACTCCGACGGCTTCGAATCAAACTTCATCTTCTCAACATTCCTCTCCGTCTGCCACTGCACCGTATGGTGTGCCATTGGTGTAAGCCATCCCATAATCGCCGACAACGCCTCCCTCCACCCATCCGCCAATGACTCGTCATCATCTACAATCTTCCCACATTTGCTTAGCTTTGATCTGATCGCCTTTTTCAAGTTCTGCGGCAACATCTCGTACAAACTTTCCCGTGCATCATGGCCTATTGTCACCGCCGAGTGCATGAAACTCTCCGCCACTAGAATCACGTTTGCATAACGCAAAGCAAGCCCAGAACCACCCACCGTCGATGGACCCGCTGCATGAAACACCCTATTATTCTTCTCAAACCCCTCAGCTCGATAATCATTAGCTTCAGATAAGAACATAATTGATTTTCTGCTGTAGAACCGGACCAAAATGGGCTTGGACGACGTTGATGTGACAGGTCCTGATCGGGAACAAACTTGTTCCTTTAATTGTTCTGTATGGAAAAACTCAGGCTGAACTTGGGTCATCTCTCTCTGCCGTGCACAATGAACATTACAGAACAACACTACAGGCAGAACCGGAATATATGGACCGAAAACAACACAAATTCGAGCATAAATAATGCATACCAAACGCGCCATTAGGCCAACACTCTTATCAAACGTCTGGCTCCACAAGGACGTTCCTCTAAAATTGCGAACCTGCTTTCTCTGGTTGGCGATCTTCTGATAGAAAAGATCAAAATTCATCTTCTCCAATTGTATCGCCCTGCAGTTTTTCTTCCATTGCATTAGCTTTCGCTCTGATGCCTCCAATTCTGCTAGAGCTTCCAATGATTCGTATAAACTTGAAGTTGTCAGTATCAATCTCTCCATTTTCTCGACTTTCTTATCTATCTTTTTCGACCCATATTCTAATTTTCCTAAATCAATGATACCTAATTTGAAATCGGTGTACACATGATTGAACTTATTAAGGCTGACGTCTGTGCATTTGTTGCCTAACCGAGCCACAGTGGTTGCAGCTTTATCGAGATCTTCTAGCTTCTCAGCGCAGGCAAGGCTCAGGAGGAAGGCTTCATCTTTGGAGTTCAAGTAGGCGACCCCTTCGGACTTCATGACGTCTTTTCTGAGCTTGGAGATTTCTTCGTCAGAAAGAGATCTATAGAGGGAGATCAAACGTGACATGGTTTTTGCAGTCTCGAACGCGAGGATCCCTAGATGATTAGGCTTCTTGGACTCGGCAGAGAGAGAGCGTACGCCCATTTCTGAGAACCACCTCATTGAGGGCATGGATCATAGGTAATGCTGTAAGTTAAGGTCTTGGGGTGGAGAATGGTGGTGGAGCAAGTGATGAGTATTTGAGGGAGAGAAGGGGGTTGGGAAGGAAAGCTTCGGAGGATCTTCATTGGGTTGAGAAGACGCGTTGGGGGAGTTGGACTCGCAGATTAAGAAATGGGAAATCGACAGGTCGGTGTAGTTGTGAAATGGGCACTGAGAGAGAGAGAGAGGACTTGACTACGATGGAAAGATCAGAGAAATATAATGGATGTTTATAATTGAGGGTTGACTTTTCATGTTGGAGGAAATTCCGTTATGTCGATTGCAAATTGTTGGATTAACATAATTGCGTGTCCTCTAAAATTAGCTAAATTTTGTATGAGCAATATTTTTTGGACTTATTTCTTGAAAATATTATTATTAGAACTTAAAATATTAATATAATTTTTTTAATTTAATGACTTTATTAGTAATATAGTTCCAATAAAAATCTTATAACTGTAGCAAAATGGACATGTGTAGTGAAATAGTTTTACGAATGTTTCTAGTTTGGATTGATGATTTTTTTCAAATAGATCGATTGATTTTTCAACCAAAAATTGTATGGTTAGAGAGAGAGAGAGAGAGAGAGAGAGAATACCATATACGATTTGGTGGAAAATATTAGGTTAAGTCTTAGCTATAAAATAACTTGGTGGCGTTTATGTAAAAGTCGAGTATTTGTGACGTTTACAAAACACTAATATTTAACTAATTTTTTTAAAACAAGAACAATTTCAATTGCGCATCTAGAGAATCAAATCTCGGTCAATAATATATGATATTTGTGAAGAACAATGGTGATTAAACACCGACAAATACTAATTTTCTTGTAGTGTTAGAACAAACTTAATTTCTATGCCATGACAACAAATAACTCTCATATTTTCTTTCTAATTTCTGCATAAAATCCCTTTGATGAATCCTTTTTTTTTTCCTTATATTTTATTTTAATTTTTTCCCTTTCGAAAGGGCTGGGTACAAGGCAGCAATGCTTATGCTCCCCTCTTTGACCCCTACTATTCATTCCAACACAATCTAAGATTCCTCTTTTCTTTTGATGTATTCTTTCGTTTATTCAAAGGTTGAATCCGTGTTCCAAATAAGAAAAACAATACACTTTCACACTCATTATATTGCGCCTTTTTGTATTTCTGGTTTTGTTTTTATCAATGCTGGCAAGGCAAAGCAAGACTTGAGAGTCCAGGACTAAGTCACACCAGCTGACTTCTTTATGGTGACTACTTTCACACAACCATGGTAGCTAGGTTGTGGTTTTTTTTTTTTGGCTCATGAAAAAAAAGGGTGGGGGAAAAGAAGAGCGATCAGTGACCACCCCGATAGACGTTCACTAGTGGAATCATAAGATCCCTGATCGCGCCTGAAATAACTCTGGAAACCAGAGTTAAGTTGGTGTTTTCAGTGAAGCCTCCCTAGTCTTGATGGTCCAGCAGATAGATGACTTCAACAGTGGAATCCACCAAAAAGTAGAAATGCACTTTGAGATATGGAAACAGTGGAATCCACCAAAAGTAGAAATGCACTTTGAGATATGGACTTGACTAACGCTTCTAATAATCTTATTTTAACTTAAAAATTTGATTTAATATGCTGAGATAATGATGTGATTTCATAGAAATTATTGGATCAAGACTAAGTATCAATGTTTGATGGGCCCTAGAGTCAATCTAAAGGTAAAAGTGAATTAGGTCAACAAATTATATCAGTAGATTAGATCTTAATAGCATTGCTCATAAAAAAAATTTGCTACCCTAACTTCAAAATTTATTATTTTTTGAGAATGTTTTTATCATATGTGTATTTTTTTATATCCAAAAAGTTTGGTGATTTATTATTTTTGTGGGTATTTTTATTATTTTTATGAGTATTTTTTTTCACTTATATGGTCACTATTTTTATAATTTTTTGGGCTTTTGCACTTTAGATTCCGAAAGATGTTTCAATTCTTACTTTATATCATGAAAGATTATTTTTTCTATATTGCACCCTAAATGTCATAAATCGGTTTCAATGTAGCCTTAGATTAACATCTGTGTCAGATTCCATTAAAAATTGATGTAGACGCCAACTAAAAATATGAATGGTGAGTTTATATTTTTGGCCCAAGAGCAACAAACGTGAATGTCAAGTCCATTCATTTTTAACGGAATCTGAAATAGATGTTAGTTCGAGGGTATCATTGGAACAATTTATGACATTCATGGTACAATGTGAAAAAAAATAATTTTTTGGGGTATAAAATGGGAATTGAGACATCTTTCGGGATGCAAAGTATAAAAAATCCTAACTTTTTTTCGGTATAATAAAAAATTATCACGTTTGTGGGTATTTTTGCCACGGCTATGGTAATTATATTTACCACTTTTCTTTAATACCATAATAGTAATACTGCAACATTGATAAAAATACCTAGAAGAACAATAACATACCTACAAAAATAATAAATATCAGTATGTTACCATATATTTTTTTTTTACATAAACAACATCTCGAGGGAGATATTAACCGATGGGAGAATGTGTCTGCAAACCATAAATTTGCAAAAACAGTAGGCTTGTGAGGTACCTGCAAAAACAGTAGGCTAGTGACATACCGAAGGTATTATATGGATTCTTCTATGATACTCCATTTTTTGTGATACATATTGAGTGCTTTGGACAATTACATTAGTGTCAAACTAATTGGTGTACATGTTTACTTATCAGATAACAAATTTATCTTTATTTCTTTTATCAGAAAACAAATTTACCTTATCAGAAAACTTACCTCATTATCAAAAGAGAGCGCAATTGTAGCGTGTCAATAACCATTGAGTAAGTTTTCAAGAACCTCTTTTATACTAATTTCATTTGCATCCGTTTATACTGACTTTGGTAGATAATTAATAAATGTTTACTTGAAAATGATTAAATGTGCATGCTCCTAATTAATTTTGCTCCTTGATATTAATTTCAGGTTATCCCGAACAAGTAGATGGAAAAGTCTACTCGGAAAATTAAATATTTGTTGCATTTTTGAAACATTTCTTGTACAACTTAACGACAACGTTAATTTGAGGACATAATAATGTGACTTCAATATAATCATTGCATTAGTTATACGTTCCAATGTTAGATGAAACCCACTACCGATTCAATAATTATATTAAATTAAATATTCAAATTAGATTCAAATAGTATTTTCCAAAAAATATTAACCCGACATTTCTTTAAACTCCGAAAAAAAGTTGTTCCATAATAGGTATTCCTTGAGTCAAAATAAATACCGTAAAATCTCTCTGGTCGCCCGAATTTGACTGTTATAATGGACGTTGTATAATTGTTAAATGGAGAGAAATGGGCAGAGAGAGAGAGAGAGATA